CTGCGCCGTCTTCCACCTCAGGCCTTCTTGGTTCTGTCTAGACGCCGAGCTCAGGTAGGGGAGTAGGTCAGACAGTGAGGTAGATGCATCGCAAGTCTACTCTCACCAGTGCAGGTCACCGTCGTTGCACCGCTCTGCTACGATATACCTCGTCACAGTCGATGGTCAAATAAAGTGCATACCAATTTGCTGGCAACTACGGTAGTTACGTGTAATGCTGTAGGATATATGTACCGGTTTTTACTGGATCCTGCGCATTTTTTTAGATTCTATATCCGATTTTTTAGCCCTCTAATATCCTTCTCGACTCTGAGTGCACCGTCAAAGTTTGTGACTTTGGTCTTACACGATCTTTGACGCAACGGCATCCAAAATCAGGAACCGCGAAGGGTGACTCGACAGACCCCCTGGAGGCAACCGACCCTAACCTCACGGAGTATGTTGCGACGCGGTGGTATCGTGCTCCCGAAATCCTGCTTTCCTCGACAACCTACACAAAGGGTGTTGATATGTGGAGCCTCGGCTGCATTGTTGCGGAAATGTTTCTCGGGAAACCCCTATTCCCCGGCACTTCAACTTTGAATCAACTGGAAAGGATCATGAGTATTGGCCCAAGACCGACACGAGAAGGTGTGTTTCTGTCGACTGCACCTTTTTTACATTTGGTCCTCTTTCCTTCTACCTTTGCAGATGTTAGGGGGTCCTAATGTTGGCTGTTAATTTTCTTCAATCTTCCTTATTGATCGGATCGTATCTATTTGAAAACTAGTTTTTGAACCGAGATTATTCTCTTTTTCAAAGTAACATGTGGAGGCCACAATCTTCACTCACAGACTGTATAAAATATCTAGGCGTTTTAGAGTCTGCAGTCATACTTCTTTACTTCTGCTCGACATTCTGCGGCACTCAAATTATGTTTGACAATAAGGATACTTTATCGCATTTTTGTCTAGTTTTCGGAATTTTAAATTCCAGTCTTATGCTCGACGCAGGGAAAGGATAAAGTTTAATTTTGCGAGGTTTCGTGTACTTGCTTTTATGGGCTCGTGTGTCTGTGATAACTGCATTTTTTAGTGTTGCTTATTCTATTGGACTGATGTGACACTCACTTCTCATATTAAACTGGACATGTTTAGGTCTCCTTACGCATGTTTGTAGCCATAAAATGAAACGGAAGATGTATAAGCATAAAAACCGTGTTGAAATTAATCTGCTGAACGGAGGCCTTAATTTTCTTAATAATCTTCTTAGCACTCTCTACTTATTATGTATGACGTTGATTCACTTTTTCTGCATCTGGTTTGCGCACTTTTATGGGGCCGCTCCCTGATACTTTGTTAGTAGATGCATATTGATGAGGTCTGGAACGGGAGTCTATCCTTGCCTTCAAGGCGAAGAAATGGGTTGCTTGAAAATACTAACCTTAACTTAGCTGCTGGATATGTACGCGCTGACGCCTTCATGGGAAAACTGGAGAACAACGATCTTTCCCTATTATAAAGGATCTTCATTCCTATGCTAGATATGTAG